GAACTCCAGTGAGGCTGCAGGAGCCATACTGAAGCTGGGATTTCGTTGGTGTCTCTCTGTGGTGGTTGTGTTCTAGAAGATCATTAGCTAAATCATGTAGTAGCAAGGATTTTTCTTCTTAAAAAAAAAAATTGGCCATGGTACTGGTTTTTATTTGGCAAATGGAAAGGTCTTCAGGAAGAAGGAACATCTGTAAACAAAGTGTCTTTGTTTCTTTATAAACAGATGTCTTGGAAGGGGAGATTATGTCCTGTACATCCTAAAATCGCAGGCAAGCGCTAGTGGCAAGCTTCAGCTGAGGTTTCAGAGGCTGCAATTCCTGCAGGTCTAAATCCCCGCTCTTCGCATGTAGACAAATTAATCTCTTAGTTTTCACCCAGATTTCTAGGAAAGCTGGTTCCTCTTTCCTGTCGCATTGGCTTGGATTTCTTACCCTCCCCCACAGTGGTGGCTGAGGTAGAAGGTGGTCCTTTCTGCTGGCCCCCAGCAGCAAGGGAACCCCAAGAGATCCCTGACATGATGTGGGTGCTGTGGCCATCGTGCCCTGGTGCTGCTGTGCTTGGTCTGCCATCAGGAGGAAGACTGCGGGGGAAAGATAGTTCTAATGATGATTTGTTGGCTTTGTTTGTGTGGTAGACACTGGAGCTGCCATACCTCTGGGTTGCTACATTTTTTGCTGGGTGAGATACCAGTTTGTAAGTTGGGTGATATTTTCAACCGGGAAGCAGAAAGGAAATTTCTTTCCAGCTGTGACTGAATGCTTTTGTGCGTGGCTCTTGGAGGGCCTCCTCAGAACACATAAAACCAATGAAGAGGCTGTTGGTGTTTCTTGGTAGGTGCAAGCCAGGTGTTAAATTCATATCTGCTTTTTGAAATACAGCTTGTAAGTTGAAACACGAGGAAGGATATCAGAAGGATTAAAAATCTTTTAAAAATCTCATTAGCTAGTTGCTCTGGAGTTGCATACGTATGGGTAAGAAGGAAGGTGGTTTGTGTGAAGCGAATGCAGCCTGCCGGAGTCTGGGCAAGGCAGCTGGAGTAGAGTCACCGAGACTGGGGGAGTTGAATGCAGCAAGAGTGGATGAAGCTGAACCTTTCAGTCTCCTTAAAGAAGAAGGTTTTCTTAATGCAGTACAGAGGACAGCTCGTGCTGGGTGGCAGAGACGCTGCAAAAGGTAGTGTGGTCAGACAAAGAGAGATGGGCAACCCCGGGCTTTTCTGAGCATCAGAGATAACTGCTCAGAAAGAGCTTCTGGGCATCAGAGCTGGAGAGGAAGCACTGAAAGTGGCCTCCTGGTCCCCAAGGCAGGCAAGGAGGCCCATTACGTCCTTTGCAGAAGATTAGGCAAGGAGGTGCAGCAAGGAAGATGGCTGTGCTGCTTTCTTCAAGCAGTGAAAAAAATCCTTTAGACCCCCTAAAGCCCCACTTTAACCCTCAGCTTGGGATCCAAAAGACTTACAGATTTGTTTATTTATTATAAGCGTGTTTAAGCACTTGGCCACTGAATGCTGTCTTTTTAAAGATATGAAGTCTGTGGTTTGATGTGTGTTGTTTCAAAGATCTGCCTCTGAGCAGAAAGTGGGATGGCAGCAGAAAAATATGTCTAATATTTCCAAATATCGGAAATAGTGCAGAGAGATTAAAATCCAGACACATGGATTGCTCACACCTAAAAGCGCTCAATGTAAATGCACGTAATAATTAACTGAATAAAATCTCTTGGTTTTCTTACTATTAGACATTTCGTCCTGCTGCAATGTTGATAGAAAGATCATCCGATTTTGGAAAAACGTGGCAAGTATATAGGTATTTTGCATATGACTGTGAGAGTTCATTTCCTGGGATTTCAACTGGACCCATGAAGAAAGTGGATGATATAATTTGTGATTCCCGATACTCCGACATTGAACCTTCAACGGAGGGAGAGGTCAGAGGGTTTTTTTTCCAATATGTTTATTGTATAGACTTTTTCCATACAAATTCAGATTATTTTATTTTTAAAGCTAAATCTTTCATTGTACCTTTTTCCTCCAGGTAATATATCGTGTTTTAGATCCTGCTTTTCGAATCGAAGATCCATACAGTCCAAGGATTCAAAGTATGTATATAGTTACCTTCCAGGCTCATTTGAAAGCATTTCTGTACTTATTTGCTTACAAAACCCCACAAATAAAGCCATGCATTAGTCCCCATAACAGTTTTGAAGTCATATGAATACATTTGTGACGTGGCTTCTTTTCCTGACTCAGACAATGACGTACTGGGAAATAATGATCAGTGTTGTCAACTCAAGTGATTGCTTTTACGTGCATTCTTGTAGTTCGTCCTTTTCTTAATCGATCAGGGATTTATTTCCATTAAAGACCTGCTCTCCCCAAAATACATGCAGTCACCAAGAGAAACCTTGGAACATGATCCTGTAACTGTACAGTATTCAGAAAGGAAAGAAACAGAACTACAGAGGTCCTTAAATCATTTTGCATTTCTAGCTCAAATCAAGGGGGTAGTGGTTTATTTTTGAGAACATCTGAGTCATGACTTTAGAACGACTGACTTTGATAGCACTGAGTGGCTGGACCACACAGATGTGGTAGTAAAACACGGATGACTGCGGCATTCGTGTACGGTCATGATGGTCCAGGAATGCAAAGGTAGAGAGGTCTGTTGCTGAGCATGGCTCAAAGAGAAACCTCGTGGGGCTTTTGGTGTGAGTAGGGAACTGCAGTGCTTGGCCTTAAACCTGACCTCCGATTTAGTATTCATTCTTAGTTTTGGTTCATGTCCTTCAGTGTAAAACTAACTGGAGCAGAAGAAAAAATCTAAAGTAGAAAAGTGCCTGCTAGTTGCTAAATCAGTTGAATGGGTTTTTTATTCAGCATTTTAAAGGAGAAACTCTGCTTTCATGGGCTCAAAGGGCTTTCTCAAGCCTAGTTTCAAGGCCATAAGAAATTGCACAGGATTCGTAATATCAAAGTGAACATGCAGACTGAATTAATTACTGCAATATTGTCTTCCGATGGGTTATCCCTTGAGAACTTCTCCTTTGTGTTTGGTCAGTGCTGGGGCGTTGCTTCTTTCAGCAAAATGTAGCTAATTACATCTGCTAGGAAAGTTGGCTGCGTAAGAAAGAATATATTTGTGTCTTGTTTCCAACTATGATTTTTTTCCCAAAAAGCTCATATCTCTTTAAGCTCCTGGTCCACTTGTCAGCATTCCTCAATATCAGATCTCTGCACTTCTTACATTTTAAAACCCCAAAGAGCAAGTATCTCCGTGGTGATACTGTTGCATATGCCTTTAATATTTGTGTTTGTGCCTGTATATGCTTGCAATACAATAGACTATTAATTTTAATTAAGCTTAAACTAACTTATACAGTGATCAACCTCTAGTAAAATAATGTGTTGTTTTTTTTTTTAATTTGAGAGTATGAAGCGATGTGATGTGTATTATGTAAGTGCTGAAATTAAATCTGATCTAATCTGCCCATAGGAAGTATGCTTGGGAAGTAATTTCTGGCTTCCTCCCATTCAGTAAAATATCTGGTAAATAATTCCAAAACGGGGTTTGTGTTTTTTTGATGTCCCCTGCAGACCTGTTGAAGATCACAAATCTGAGAGTCAAATTCGTCAAGCTGCACACGCTGGGTGATAACCTCTTGGACTCGAGGATGGAGATCAGAGAGAAGTACTACTATGCCATCTACGACATGGTGGTTCGCGGGAATTGTTTCTGCTACGGACACGCCAGCGAGTGTGCGCCAGTGGATGGCTTTAATGAAGAAGTGGAAGGAATGGTAAATATTTGTACTTTTCTGCATAAAGCTGTTCCTGTCTGTGCCTCTTAAGTGATTTGAACATGAATTTAAAGGTGATGTTCTGCCCCGCTACTCCTCACCTTTAATTTTCAAACAAGAACACCATTAAAACTGTTCCTTATCAGGAAACATATCCATCATTATTGGTGTTAATCAAGCACAGAGAGCTCAGATTAGGTGAAAATTGTTTTAGCATTCCTTTTCTAATTATGTTAAAGAGCTGATGAAATTAAAAGGCAGGAATGCAGAAAGGGATTGTAACCGTATGGGGCCAGAGACCAGGGGCCACATGTGTGGGTCGACTTGGTTGCCCTCGAATTTAAGTAACAGAGGCATCGAAGAATGAAACACCTTTGTGAATGAAACGTGACCTGCGTTTGTGTCAGTTATCATCAGCTGAGAAGTGGAGGCTGTAGCCCTAATTAACAGCAAGCTCTGAAGGAAAATCCTGCAGCCTGCATTGTTCGCTGCTGCACGAGTGCCACATCCCTCTGGGTTCTCGTTTTTCCCATGATTTTTGCCTGACGAGCAGTAATGACTCCCCTGTTAATGAGTGAGTTATGAACTGGATGAAAATGTGGAGGCATGCAGGGAGGTTGTGTGGGTTGCCCTGAGGGCCATGAGATGTCGGCGAGCATTGCCCTGGGCTTTGAGTGATTGTCTCGGCAAGTGAGCAGCAGTAAGACTGGCTTTGACTTCAAAATCGTGGCTCCAGTGCTTGTCCCCATCATCTACTGCAGCGGCTGCCACGCAATCACCATGGGTCTGCTAGTGCTTTTTCTGGGCATGTTGCAGGCAAAGTCTGGGATTAATGGATAAAACCCATCCAAACCATCTATTGTCTTTGCTAGAACCAAAATAGTTGTCTTTGAGTACCAAAATAAGGCTCAAAAGAAGGCGCTGGGCTGGTGACCTGCTGATACAATTAGGTGCATGTTAATAGCTAATTCACAGCTAATAAACAGCTAACTTTTAGGTCCAAGAGGCTTTTGTGATTATTTGCGTGGAACTGTGCTCTCCATGTTCATTCTGAAAGCATTTACTCAGGCATTAGTTCCAGTAAGGAAAGGACAAATTTATATGAGGACATTCTTACCTTGGCAGGTAAAGGACGCTCCTGTGGCCCTTTATGTCCTCTTATGTGCAGTTATGTGCATTAGAGTCTGCAAAAGTATGTCTGTTATGTACTTGCTACATTTTGCATTAATTGAAGCATGTGTTTTTTTTCCCTTCCTATTTTATAACCATCTATATAGTAGTTATTTTTTTTATTTTTGATGACAGGTCCACGGACACTGCATGTGCAGACATAATACCAAAGGGTTAAACTGTGAGCAGTGTTTGGATTTCTACCATGACTTACCCTGGCGACCCGCTGAAGGCCGTAATAGTAATGCCTGCAAAAGTGAGTTTGAGTAAAATGCAGATCTGGAGTCTGGTGTGAGCGTTATATGCTGTTACTTGGGAACCTGTGACAATATCTAAAGTCCTGCGTGTTCTTTGGTTGACTTTGGTGTGTTTTTTCTGCAAACTTGCCTCTGCCCTGAGACCAGACTCTTTGCTTTCTGCCTTTGCCACAGAGTGCAATTGCAACGGCCACTCCAGCCAGTGCCACTTTGACATGGCTGTGTACATGACGACGGGGAACACCAGCGGGGGAGTGTGTGACGACTGCCAGCACAACACCGTAGGACGCAACTGCGAGCAGTGCAAGCCCTTCTACTTCCAGCACCCGGAGAGAGATCTGCGGGACCCTGACGTCTGTGAGCGTAAGTGCAGCCCCGCTCCTTGGGGTGGGAATGACTGTGGTATCCTGGCTGTGACCCTCCAGAGATTTCCCTGGAGAATTTAGGCTTTTCTCCCCATCTTTTGCCAGTGCTGTGCTCCCACGCATAGATCCTTGAGGGAAGGTGGTCGTCTCGGAGGTCTCGAGCGAGCCTGACTGGGTTTTGTTTTCTCTTTGAGAATTTGGAAATTTATCTGGTCATTATATGTTCAACCGATGTCATGTCTGATAGTTGGAGGAATGGTACACTCTCTATACACAGCAGCTGAGTTTAAATAATTCAGTGTGAGACTTGGCCTTTTCTTTTGTAGCAGTTGATAAAACGTGCACGATGCTTCCTTCTTAGCTTGCAACTGTGACCCAGCTGGCTCCCAAAATGGTGGCATCTGCGATCGCTACACTGATTTCTCCACTGGCCTCATTGCCGGACAATGCCGGTGTAAATTATTTGTGGAAGGGGAGCGTTGTGACCTCTGCAAAGAAGGTTTCTATGGCCTGAGTGCTGATGACCCAGCGGGTTGTCAGTGTAAGTAAAAACATATGTTCCTTTACGTGTGATCAAAAGCTCTTTGAGGAGCTGCTAGAGCCGGGAGAAGTTTGGTTTTGGGGTGGGCTTTTTCCCTTTGTTTCATATTTTTGCTAAATGAAAAACATCCTTTTAGATTTACTGTAGCTTGGAGTCCACTCACCCTTAAAACTCAGTTTCCCAGCTGATCCTTCTAGTGCATTCAGAGGAAATAGCAGAATCCTCCTTATTTGTTTTTAATTATAAGTCTGTAACCCATGGAAGTTTTACTGGGAAAGGTGGTGAGCAAAGTGTGCAATTAATCTCTGTCCTGGAGAATTTAGGGGAAGCTTTAACGTAAATATTTGAGTTGGATGCTGTCTGAAATGTGACTCCAATGCTGTAATTTGACCTGCCTATTTGTATTTCCCAATCTAGCTTGTGCGTGTAATCCTCTGGGTACCCATCCCGGGGGGAATCCTTGTGATTCGGAGACAGGAAACTGCTATTGTAAGCGCCTGGTGACAGGAAAGCAGTGCGATCGCTGCCTGGTAAGTAGTTTACCATAAAATAATTTAGGAGACGCTGGTGCGAGGGAGGCTGCCGTGCGGAAAGCACGGAGCGAGGTGCTGGCCACCATCCCTGACTGCCTGCGAGCGGGTGCCCGGCATTCAGGCTGCAGCAGGCACCTCGGGATGTCGGGAGCTGTGAAGCGCGGGGGGTTATGGAGAGCTGGGAGGCACATCGGGGCAGACAAGAGCATCCAGAAATTAATTCCCTGGACTGTAAGGAGTGAGACGTGAGGATACCTGTTGCAGTTGCTCTGTGAAAATGAGGGATCTGGGGCAGTTCTGCTGGAGCTGGGGTGAAAGACAAAATAGCCAGAGAAGCAGTGTAACCAAAAAAATTCTTTCTATACAAGCCACTACTTTAGACAGGGATTATTTCATACGCGTACATTTCCATATAGTGCTTATGCATGCTGAAGTGTTACACAAACACACTGTCAGGTAACTGGATGTGTTTGTATAAACACTGGCAGACTGTCTTATCTAACAGTGAACTACATGGAAAAGCTAAACAAGTCTGTCTGGCTGTCCAACCACCAAGTTGCAGAGTAGCAGCTCTGCAAGGGCAGTGCCCCACACAAAGCCCCACCATCCCACACGCGGCTCTGCTGCGGTGTGATGATGTACTGAGCTGTGATTTTCCAAGCCCTTCTTGTGTCAGGAGTCCAAACTGGTGTAAATGGTACAGTAGGAGTGAGGTCTCTGAGCTTGGGTCCTGAATCTTGCTTTTAAAGCTAGCTAGAAAGATGTTGTTTCTTCTCAGGCCCTTGAGATGGTCAACAAGGTGGAGGAGAGCGGGTGGGGAGGTTGTGCTGGTGGTCGTGACGGTAGACTCACAATCAGGGGAGCAGGATTGATGGGTAGGGAGGTAGTCTGGAGTAGCTTATACTGAGTATTTCAAAATGTGTCTTTAGAGTAGATGAGTTTAAATCAGCACCGACTTATAGAACTGGTGATGTTTTGTCCCACAGCCTGAGCACTGGGGCCTGAGCAACGACATGGATGGATGTCGGCCGTGCGACTGCGACCAGGGAGGAGCACTGAACAACAAGTGAGTCTCAGCCCAGTTACTCCCCTGTAATCATTCACCCTGGCGAGTTCCGCTTCGTTTGCAACCACAACACCCAGGGCTCTATGTGCTCTGGAGGGGGACCTTTGGGACCATCTTTCTGCTCCAGTGTGCAGAAAGTGGCAAGTCTTGATTGCAGCATGGGGTGACAGAGGCATTTGTGTCTTTTCCATGCTGAGCAGCCTCCGTTTGGGCCACTGGTGCAGATAAACACATAAAACTGGTTTTAGTGTAGCTCTGCCTTTGGTAAGCCAGGGTAGGAGCTGTGGCTGGAGCTCTGCCGTGGCCGTAACCTGGGATATGGTCCATGTCAAAGCTTTGCTGTCACAGGATCAAAGCAGGAATCAGGCGGTGACACAGACAGTCAGGCTGGCTCTTGGTTTGCTCCCTAACTGGCCCTTTGGCCAGTCTGTCTGTCTGTCCACCAGCGGTGGGGGAAGCACGTTGGCTGCACAATACTGCTTTGTTGCCCTGGGGCTGCTGCCTGGGGTGGGATGTGGGCCTGGAAGTGCCCGTTGGGGAGATGGAGATTTTTCAGATAAAAGTGTAGGTTTTGAAGATGCATCCATCAGTAAGAGTATGGAAAGTCCTGGCTTAAATGCGTGTTCAGAGGGGTGCTGGGTAGCCAGACTGCTTCTCTGACCAGAGCAGTTTTCTGCGTGGAATGTTTCAGGCTTTCCAACAGCAGCACGCTCCTTTGCTCTCTTTTTTTTCCTTCCCTCCACAAACCCTTTGAAACATCCTGCTTTTGTCTGAAGCCACAGAAGTTTCCCGGAAGGTGCACAAACTTTCCCGCTGCAGCCTGCAGGACCAGACCTGGGGGAGTTTGGGACTGGTCCCGGTGTGACTCCTGTAGGTTGTCACAGCCTGCGGACACCCCATCTGTGGCAGGAATGGCCGTGGGAATGTCCTGTGGGCTGTCTCTCCCCTCCACTCCCGAGTGAATTATTACCCCTCAGCAGTGTGGTCGTTAGTGATAATTTACTCCTCTGTCCTCAGCCCCTAACGGCCCCCCTGGCTCCCCAGCACAGCCGCTACCAGGGGTTTGGGATCTTGACTGGGATGTGGCCAGGCAAGGCTTTGCAGCCCCTTTCCCACGTGCTGAGCCCAGCGATTGCAAAAGTGCGCGGGGAGGGGACACGCAGTGTCCAGGCGCGGGCGGGGAGCAGCGGTGCTTGCCTCGGGCCGCCGGGAGCCACCAAGCCTGGCTTGGCTCCCGGCTTTGCTTTCTAAGGTCAGTGGGAAGGGGGAGCTTTGCCCTCCCTGGGGCTCCTGTCCTCAGCTGCCAAATTGCCGCCTCCTGGCCTCCTGTTCAGGGTTCGGAAGTGGGATGTGGGGCCTGGGGAAGCCACACCTCACCCAAAATTCATCCCTGCGCTGTAACCCCAGCAATGGAGTCATCACTGTGCCCAGAGGGGAAACTTCCCAGCTCCCCTTCTGAGGCAGCCAGGGCATTTCTGGCATCTCAAAGTGAATGTTGAAGTGAATCTCTGCAATTTCAGAAATGGCTTCAGTTAAAAGTTGCTGTTAGAATGGGGGCTTGAGAAGCCTGGAGATTTTCCATGGAAACCAGAGGGGTTTGAGTTCAGAAAATGTTTCTAATTCAACTCAAATTTAAAGGAAGGAGTGTCTTTTGGTGGACCAAAAGACCTTCCTATGAAAAAGTGTGAATGGGCACATGCAAAAATACAACCTGCCCAAGGGTTCTTCGTAAGTGGGGTGGACTCTCTGGGGTCAATAACTGCCAAAAGGCTGTTTGGGGATAGAGCTGTATTGAGAAAAGAAAATGGCTCGTTATGAAGGAAGTGGAGCTGCTGTATGTCACCCTGGACAGACCTCCATTCCCCAGCGATGGCTCTCTCTGTCCCACATCTTTGGCTGTGTCCATCCTGCTCTAAAGCAGCCAGGTATGGTCTTCCCCTGTTCCAAGCTGCTAATGGGTGACTTCTCGGGATGTACTTTGCAGCATAGAAGAGCAGCTCGACATCCCAGGGCGTGCAGGGTCATGCATGTTCTTGCTTTGCCTGAGCCCATACAAACAGATACGCTGCTTGCGTGACCTGCAAGCCTGCAGCTGAAGTCTGCCCTCAGCTTGCAGAACAGACATGCCTCTTGGCTACGTCTGTGGTAGCAAGTGAAGGTCTCCCAGGACTGCTCTCTGGCCCCAGGTAACCGCCTGCATCCGTAGCATGAAATACTCCCACCACCCAAACAGAGGAAACCACATGCAAAGTGCCTCCTGGAAATGTTTCCTGGCCCGTGCTCACTCACAGCCTAAGCCTAGGAGTTGTCTAGGCTACGAGAAAGATAGTTGGGTTGAGCCAAGACTGTGCCTGGCACCACGCTGCCGTTTGAGCAGAGCTGATGGTCCAGCTGCAGAGCCCAAGAACATCTCGTGTCTGGATGCAGCAGTGTCCAGAAGTGCTTCTCTTCCTGTGCCACCTGAAACGTCAAAGCTGGAATTGGCTCTAGCTGTGTCTCAGCGCAGCCAAGATGTGTTGTAAATTCACTGCTTTCCGTTTTAGCTGCTCGAGTGAATCCGGCCAATGTGAATGCCGGCCCCACATGTTTGGACGTCAGTGCAACCAGGTGGAGCCTGGCTATTACTTCATTTCGCTCGATCATTACATCTACGAGGCGGAGGAGGCCAGCTTGGGTCCCGTGAGTAACAGCTTTAGTGGGCTGGTATGTCTGGACAGCTGTGGGAAAGTTTTTTCACCATTTGAGTGTTGGAAGCATCTGTTTTATACCCTGAGTGTTTTGCAATCGAAATGTGAAAAACACAAAACTGAATTGTATCAGAAAACCGTCAACCTGTAGCTCTTCAATCCCAGTATCGACAAATCATGTAGTAAGTTAGCGGGGGGAAACTGCCATTTTTCCTTTTAAACCTGTTTCTTTGATCATGGCTGTACTGTTTGTTTCCTGCCAGCACCCCTCTCTGTACCCCACTGCGTACGTACCCACTGCACCCACTTCTCCTTCCCCTCTTATCTCAAGAGCGTTGGGACACCGACCCTGACTCTTGTCTTTGGTGCCACTGAAAGCAGGAGGGAGCAAAGCACGCGTTTAAGCACATTGCTGCTGCTTTTAGAGCTTCCGTGCGTCAGTAGCATTTCTTCTAATAATGACTAAACCCATGGTTGATTGTGCTAAAAACTGGTTTTTGTAAATGAGGTTGCCTCTTGCTTGTTTAGCCTGCTGGCGTGGTGCATCAGGGTCACTGCCTCTTTCCGTTCACCGCCACACAGTCTTGCTTTTAATTCATTAACAGCAGCTAGGTGATTACATCAATTATTTTTGCCTCCAGCAAGGAGTCAGGGAGATGAGATAATGGTTTCTCTAAAGCAGCAGATCCTTGTCTGCCTGCAATTGAGGCGTTTGGTCCTAATTTATTTATTTCAGGCAAAATGCAGCCACTTTGCAGTTTCAGCTGAGGCAGAGGATTTTTGCTGTTAGGTGAGGGCTGTTAGAAGGGCTTTTTAAAGTACGTTAATAGTAAGAGGAGATTTAAAGAAACCATTGGACCGATACCTGTTGAAGATGATCATCTGACTAATAGGAATGAAGACAAAGCGGATACATTCAGTGCTTTTTTTGCCTCAGTCTTTAATCATACTGATAGACCTTGGGCTGCCTGGTCCCCTGAGTCAAGAGGACCATGAGTGTGGGAACTGTGACTTTCCATTTGTGGACATTGAAATCGTAAGGGACTGACTATATCAGCTGGATGTTGACAAGTCCATGGGGCCTGATGGGATTCATCCCAGAGCACTGAAGGAGCTAGTGGATGGTATGGCAGAACTCCTCTTGACCATGTACCAAAGGCCAGTGTCCTGTTTAACTAATTTCAAGAGGACCATGAGTGTGGGAACTGTGACTTTCCATTTGTGGACATTGAAATCGTAAGGGACTGACTATATCAGCTGGATGTTGACAAGTCCATGGGGCCTGATGGGATTCATCCCAGAGCACTGAAGGAGCTAGTGGATGGTATGGCAGAACTCCTCTTGACCATGTACCAAAGGCCAGTGTCCTGTTTAACTAATTTGGCCAACCGCATCCTGGGCTGCATCAAGAGGAGTGTGGCCAGCAGGTCGAGGGAGGTGATTCTTCCCCTCTACTCTGCCCTCGTGAGACCT